CGGAGCTATGAGGTACTACTCATATTTGTGAATAGTTTACTCGCGATTGTTTTATTCTCACGGAATCGGTGAATGAATTAAAAGACTTACCATTACGAATATAGGCAAACCAACAGACTGTCAGCCATTCATCACCAAGGTAGAGAGAATCACGAAAATACTAACCGACTGTTACAAATCGGATATTTTGTTCTATGTAATCTGATTTTTCCTATCGTATGCTGTGCTCTTCAAGCCGGCACTGGTGTTTGGGAATTCTACCACCAGTGCTANATACTGTACTATGATAGCAGTCATCATTATAAATAGGCCAATCGGATACCTGTGCTATTATTGTTTTATTTATACATTATCACCTGACGTGGCCCATAGAAACGAAATTTCTGTACCTGTTTCTAAACTGCCTATGAGCGTATTCTAATAATTTTATTCAATGAGCATTAACCCATACCCCTAAACTGCAACCAAGTTAATTCAAACACGAGATTAAATGACGTCCATCGACAAACAGTGGGACATAAATGTTTCTTATGATGCAATTGTCGGGTAAAACTTAGTTGGAAGATCAATTTGGTACCTGAAAGTTGACCGAAATTAGTGTTACACAACGGAGCTCATTATGCGTTAATTCTTCATCGGCAAATGTCAAATGCGGTTTCATTTATTCTAGACTTTAATCAGTTTCTCGTGAGTCAAATATACGCTATACACCCATCTGTTCTGCTCACTTGAAAAGATACTTGTTCTGCATTACCGTCAAGTCAGATGTGGTTTCTTTTTCAATCATTTTAGTTATTAGTTCCCAAATCTGGTCACTTCCCCAGAAACAACAAAGTGGAGTCGTTTGCGCATCAAAATTAGCTGCAGTGATATCACTGAAATAGTCACACAAAAATGTATTCGAGAACAATTATGCCGTCATATTTTTGTCCCTGATATCACTTGAATTATCAAACGACACGTGGTAATTATCGAAAAACAGATTCAAGTTTGCCATTCCAAAACGTTGTCACGGTTCCGACCTTGAAATATACAGACAATGAAGGCAATTCTCTTCACTATACATACACAAATACAATTATTTGATTATTCTCGTTGACTTTGAATGCGATGTTCCTCAAACTGCACACCCAAATTTCTTTGTTTTGTTCTGTCCACACTTATGCGAGTGTGAATATGAAGAATTATAATTCATAAAACATTCTTTACCTACTACCTTGATACTGATGAAGTTTATGAAAGTTGAGCAATGGACATTCATTTCCACACAAGTAATCATCGAGGAAAATTCGGCTGATAATTACAAACATATTTCTCTATGGTCTATAGCTAGCGGCAAAGAGAACGGTAGCGAACGGTAACAGACTTTTAACACACGTGTTTGACAAGGAGCTTCCGGTCACCATATGCATGAAACTAAGTGCAATCAGCGTATTTATTGAAACGCTCGAGTGCCAGCCCAATGATTCAAATACTTTTTCATATCCGGGGTTCTACGGAAGCGATCGTCGTTCATTTTCACATACATACACATACATCACCCACCCTTTGAATGAGCTTCGACCAATAGAACGACCACAACTAAACACACGACACACCCCCACATGTTCTACACAGTCTAGTAGATTAATCATGAAAAACAATGATTTGCCACTGGGTATCTAGAACCATGTTATGACGATGGACATCCCGTAATTTCATCCGGTTCACTCAGGGATCTAACGTATGTACTAGCACAAAATTGTAAAATTCCTGTTGAAAGTTAAAAACGTTGGCCAAACACTGAACTCCGGGAAACGTGAACCAGGACGGAAAAAGATGATAGTCTAAATTGTTTTGCACCTGGTGATCGTGGGAGATTGCAAAACGAAAACTAGAGGGCATCAGCGACTGATGGTGGCGTTGCATAACGATAAGCGATGTATGGCAAGTCAGGCATTGCTGATGCAATGGTTAGTGATACGCGGCAGTTTGAATCGTCCAAGTGGGTAACGCGTCGAGCAAATGGTTCGCGAGATCAGCTGGGAATAAGTTTGACATGTCCAAGCCAAGCGAGGAAAATCCATTGTTCTGGAAGGCTGCGACTGTGAGCGTTTTGTTAACTGTGCAACTGGCCGAATTCACGGACCCTTTTGTTGAGCGCACACAATCAGACAAAAGAACACTATGTTTTCAATGGTTGGCTTAGTGATACGATCCGGTATTCAATAGAATTTTAGTTGATGACCTGAAACTGAGTCCATTCAAATATCTGAGTCGTCAGCCTTCCCAAGGAGATGTCTTAACTGAAAAACAAAACCACGTTTTTTTGAGTTGTCCGAGGTGACCGGATCAGAAACGTTTTGCGTGATCAATATGGCAATAAAATTGTGCACGTCATCCTATTAACAAATTATGAATGATGAAAAACGATATTTTTTATTTACGTACCAAGGTAATAGCTAAGTTTTATCATGGGAAATAAAGTATTCGTACTGGAGACCCCGCACGGTTAATTTATCCTCTAGCTCGTTCTACGATCTGATTGAATGTTTTCACCCTTTGCGCAACCTGTACCATCCCGTCCTGAAACAAGACCCTTTGATCACCTGCTTTTGGTATGTTTTTGATACTCTTGTTGTTACGTGTAGTCCAGCTGCGTGATAATGACTCCCCTGATATGAACAGTAAATGTTCACTAATCGTGTGAAAGATCTACTCTTGTCTAATGTCCCGTAATAGTTTGCTGATGAACGGCGCGGCAAGTATAAACCATGCCGCAACCCCTAATANATACCGATAACACTGATCTACCGGTCTGGCCTTGTATCTCAGCTGGTAGAGCGTGCACGTACAAAGCGTTGGTGGCGTTCATGAGTGGGTTCGATTCCAACCGAGGCTACTAAAATTTTCACAATCGAGATAATAACTTCAAATCTGCCAAAACAACCATTTGAATATTATTAGAATAATCTGCATGGCCACATTGTGCCAGCAGTTAGATACCATAGGGTACTTTTCTTCGGTCCGGAAGGCATCTAGGATTCATGGTGTGGTTTTAATCGATCGATCGGATGGGACAGTTGCAATAAGGATCATAAACATGCCCAAACATAGCACGAATGAGAATCGGACCTTGATAACCGCCTCTAATTTTTATGATGACCAGCGAATGTCTAATATTCATATCAAGTGTGTCATTGACACAAGGTTAGACAACAGGAAGGACGACAAGGGGAAAATGAACATTTCAAATTGGTGATCAAAGAATCCAGTGTTAGGTTGGGGG